AATCCCAACATGAACTCGGAGGTAGAACCACTGCAGACCAACTTTTTGCAGTTGCGTATGAACTGTTAATATCTTAGTCATGTTTGAAAACCGCTGATATAGTCACCATTTGTGTGTTTTAATCACCATGAATTCATCACATTGTCACCATTTTTGGTCGTCAAAAATCACAAATGCGTGTGTGTTTACAGGTGGTTTCGGTTCAACGGAAAGCAAGGTGGTGGGTTTGCTTCAAAAGGATGAGAAGGAGGCTGCGTGCAATGAGGCACCGGAAATCAAACATTGCTGGTTGGGAATGAGGCTTTATTCTGGGTAAATTATAACGACCTCACTGCCACCTCACTGGAAATCATGGTTGGTAAGGGAAATTATCACCAAATGACCTTAATTCATGCTAGTGAAATATTCTAATTTACCAAGTTTATTGGAAAATCATCGAACAAAATGGTGATATTGACCACAATGATTGCGTCAGATTATCAAAGGGTACAAATCTGCAATTGAAGAAGTGTCCAGCGTCGTGCTTGCTGCGAGAATCGTGAAATGTTTTGCAGCCATGTAGGAGGGGATTTCAACTTCAAAGTAAAGTTGCAAGCTGCTGTGTAAACCCCATTAACTTTACTTCATATCCCCTTACAAACCCTAGTTAACCAAGTTTTGTTCACCAACTTAAGCTCTCCAGGGAGTCCCACCTCCTTCCATTGCTTGGTTTTCAGCTTAGCTCGGCTCAACAAATGATGACGGCCGATGGCGACGACGCCCGCAGCCGCAGCTCACTCAACATGGCCACCGGCGATACTTGACGTCCAAGTGTGGGAGGTCGGGATGGTTTCCAAGGTTTTTGAGGATTTGGCCATCTTTCTTCACCATGTTTTCAAATGTTTTGAAGATAAATCAAAAAAAAAGTATTTGAAAAAAGGGAAATGACGGTTGTGAACCGCAAGAATGTAGTTTGTTTGCAGCAAATTGAACGTCGATTGCTTTTACAATGCGTGGCGTCTGTCGGAGAAAATCAAAGGGTTAAGGGTGGCATTACAGAAGTTTGGCGCGAAAGAAACTGTTTTGGAAAGTTCTGGTTACATCAGAAGTTTTATGACCCACGGGGCAAGCATACAGCATCATTCAGTAGCCTGTACACGACCAGGATAAGTAGCCTATACCCACAGGTCAGTCGAATTTGCAAGATATTCGAGAATATTCTCAAAAAAATGGGGGAAACCCCTGAACCGCATTAACCAAGCATTATTCAGGTGCAATGTCCAAGAAGTCTTCGAAGCTGCTCCAAATGGTATCCCTTTTCCAAAACGCTTCTTCCGTGTTGAACTTTGGAGAACAAGACTATGTTGCTAACATAACAATGACACCTATTTCTCTGTCGAAATTATCCTCCCAAATGGCGTTATTTTTGGTATATTGGGTCTTCCACTCTGTTTGTGTCAAGAATGGCCTCCCACAAAATTTCATGATTCAGAGTGGTGAACGGCGCAAGGCTGGCCAAGCTTTCTTGGCGTACTTTGAAACCATAGTATCCTGGAAAGACTTTTTGGCATCTTCTTGTGGGTTGCTATATACCATGCGATATCCATGTGATATCCATGTGATATCCTGGAAACCACCATGACTGACCATGACCCTTAAGGAAGTAGCACCTTTAAGACCATGCGTGGCAACTCGGACCATATGGGGGTGCGTGTTTTTGGGTGGACATGCGGACAGTGGCCCAAGGATTGATTTTGATTTTCCCAAAATGTGAGGATCTTGGGGTAAAGGGAAGAAAGAGCTGGCTGCGGATTACCCGGCCTGGTAAACATACCAAAAACTATGGAAAATCCCATTTTTTATTGGGTAAACCCCACTATAAATGGCAATTTTCAATAGCTATGTTAGTTTACCAGAGGGTATATATAGCACCACCAAAATTTTGAGGATGGATGTTTGAATTCACGCCAAAAAAAACATGGGGACTGTTGCGACGCAACGTGACAACTTGGGATGAAACAAGTCCTTCAAACTTCCCGGGTTGATTGGTTATTATAGGGCTTATGGTTATACGATGTTAGCTATATAGCTGGTTGTTTGACATTATACTTGGGTTGATCCTGGTTGATTGATGTTGATTGTGGCTTATCACAGTTTTATCACGGTCCAGTAGTAGGTGTTTCCCTATTCATCAACCTATTCATCCACGGCATCCAAGGAACGATGGTTTTCCCCCATGACGAACAACGGTTTCCGCAGCGGCCCCCTGGTCTCTGTGGCCCGGGAACTACAGGTTGCTACGGGAAAAAAGGGCACCTTTCATAGACCATTGAGGTATTAATTAGAATAACTGGTTGGTGGTTTGGAACATTTTTAGTTTTCCATAATATATGGGATCATCCTTCCCATTGACTGATATTTTTCAGAGGGGTTGAAACCAACCAGATAATGTGGGTAAAACAATGCCATAAATAACCTGGGAATGGTAGACCACCTATAAAAATTGTCATTTGGGGGATGGTTGGTTGTTGCTTTACCCACATTAGTGGTGATTTTCCATCGCTATCTTAAATTGCCAGACAGTATGTTGTCAAAAACTTGGGCATATGAGGTTGCTTGGTTCAGCTGCATGAGGTTCTCATTGATCTGATAGCACTGGTGATGTAATCGGAGGATTAGTGTTTGAATAAGGGCAGCAGTGAAAATTAAAATTTCGATCTATATCTTTTGAGGAAACCTTCAAGCATTTTTACCGTTGGGCGAACCATAGTGCATCAAAGTAAAAACCGGCAATACCAGTCATTGATGATGACTGTGTGTGTTGTTGTTTTTCCTAGCCATGTTCGGTGGCATCTTACATATGCCATCGGTTGTTGTTTGAACTTGTGAATCCCATCCGTCTTGACACTGCCCGCAATTTGTGGATGTCAAGGCGCAATAGTCAAGGTCTCTAGAGGCATATTGCCCGTTTATCAGCACTAGTACCCTTAATCAAATATCCTCAATAACTTCCTCTTGTTTTTTCAATCGGCGGAAATACATTTTACCTGGGAAACCCTCGAAGTATGTATAACCATGGCCCATCCCTGCTTACCTTGTCGCAGGTGCACACCAGTTTTTGGAAAGGTTCACGATGCCCATCATGAATCACTGATATTATCATCTGGTTGGTGGTTTGGAACATTTTTTATTTTCCATAACATATGGGATGTCGGATGTCATCCTTCCCATTGACTTTCATATTTTTCAAGGTGGTTATTGCACCACCAACCAGTCATGGTTTCAACCAGTATTTGGCAGGAAACCCCATCCCTCCACGAACTAATTTTGGGACCAAACAAGTGGAGGCTCGTTTACCAAGATCGACCATACCAACTTTCATGAAACATTAAAGTTATTACAGCCTGATTATGTTTCCTGATGGTTCAAGGTTGTTTTTTCTTGGAAACTCGATAATTATATTTACATAATATGTCTATGTATATATATATATTATAGTTTTATACATTCAATCCTTGAGGCATGTTGACCTTGACAACCACGGCTTTGGGCGGCGGTGTCTTATCCGTGGCATTCGCTGGGTCCTTGGTGGAACCGGCTTTGGGCAGCTGGATCTTGGGGCACATGATGGTTAACGTTTAGGGGAATCATCCCGATCCCAACATTGCAAATATCATGACATAATCATCAATCACTATTTGTAAAAGGTAAACCATCTATAAATGGGCCATCTATACCATGGCTATATTAAATAACCAGAGGGTATTTATATGGTTGGTGGTTTGGAACCATGGAATTTTGTGACTTTCCATATCTTGGGAATGTCATCATCCCAACTGACGAACTCATATTTTTCGGAGGGGTAGGTCAACCACCAACCAGACAACTATTTTCAGGTTAGTGTATTGTTCTAATTCAGCCAGGTTCAATGACGATTTAGGGGAAACAAGATGGGAAAAGCATGGAAAACCCATTGATGAATCACAAATTATCCCATGTAAAGTTATTCATCCCATCCCCCCTTTAGCCCATCAACATCCCCTAGAAACCATGGGAGCTCTAGGGGATGAAATCCGATAGAATAGGGTCCATAGAGGCTTGTTGAATGTTGGGGATGAGCTTCTTCACCCAAGAACCAATGGGTTGCAAAGATAACTCAGAACAGAAAGATACAAAAGACAACAAAAATCGAGTGGGGGGGAGTGAAACGTCATTTCTGAGGGGACGGCAGCTTCTGAGGCTTTTGAATGGTCAACCTTTTTGAAAACCCAGTGATGGGCAGCCATTTGACAGCCGGTTTGACACCGAGACGACATCTTCATCCCCACTGCCAAAAAAATCAGCAGTGCTGAAAATAAGGGTGCCCCAAGCCACTGCGTTGTGAAAAATGTTTAGTTTAACTTCACATGATACCTTCCAAAAATCTTGAACTTGATCCAACTTGATCCACCCAAGTTGTCCTCTTCCCAATTCCCACCCCCCAATATTGCAAAGTGGCGCAGGTCATGAACATTTGCGGCATAGGATTGGGGTGCCTGATTCTGGCCCTGGGTGCTTTGCTGGCATATCTTGGAATGGCAGCACTGATGGAGATGACACTTGGCGGCGATTTCGGTGCGAAACCACGGCACCACTGGAATCGATGGGAAACCAAGAAACATGAAGTTTTTTGGATACCATGTGATATAATTATTGAAAATATGATAAAATATTTGATTATGAGATATGCTAATGAAGATACCATCTTTGAGCTTCTGAAATTGCCATGGCAGCTATGGAACGCAGGTTTGGAACATGGTCACCATGTCCGCGATGATTTGGTCATATCGGGATAGCGGTGTGCAATTTCATGGTCCTCGACACACAGACGTGAGATGTGATCAGTTTCCAACAAAAAATTAAACGTTTGGAAATGCCTCAGATATCTTCAGAACGCATTGGTTCAAGAAGTTGTTCAAGTCACATTACAATCATTGACCCCAAAAATTTCATGGTGATTTTTCGATCCAAGAAATGATGCTATGTTTTGCAATTCCGAAAAGTGTTGTGCCACTTGCTTCCAAACGTTAAGACATAGGAGCACAAAGACCGGCAAAAGCTCCTACGCTGCCCTATTCTCCCATTGTGCTGGACCGAAAGCAGGCGGATTTTGTGATACTGGATCCATCTGGATCCCCCTTTGGGACATGGTGAGTTGGAAAGGCACCAGGAGTCATTTCTAAATGATCAAGGGCAATATCTTCCATTTATAGTGGATTTACCCGTTAAAAATGGTGGATTTACCAATTGAAAATGGTGATTTTCCCATCACACCGGAAAACGGCGAATTCTGATGGAAATTCATGGCGAGGCCCTATGGGTAGCTGTTCCTTCAAGACAGCCCATATGGTTTCATACCTTTGTGCGGATTCGAACCTATTTCGGTGCTTAAAGTACATTGAACATAGAATTTCTACAGATGGGTATTGAACAATTGGCCGTGTTGGTGGAGAAACTCTACAGTTTTTGCAGGTTCTAAACCTAATCATAAACTAATTTTCATTAACAACTGAACTCCACATGTTAATCATAATGCTCCCTAAGGTATACCACATGTTCGGATTGTAAGTTGTAATGCAGCTTGGTTGAAAATCTGCACGTTTTGCAGATTGTAGAGCTGCTATAAAGCTGTAATCGTTGATTTATTGTTGACAAAATCATTCTAGAATCGATCATTATTTCCTGAAAATGTTCGCAGGTTTCGCAGATCCCAAACCTGCTTTGCTTTGACACATGTTCATAAAACACATCTAGAAAAAATGTAAACGAAACCATACACCAATCCCAAAATCACCATGTTTATGGGTGGTATGTTTATCATCCCCAGCCATGGTAGGTCTATGGCAGCGGGAAACCCCACATCGCCAGGTCCTACACTGGATGCCATGCTCTTCATCTATGGCAACGGAGCTTGTGTATCCTGGCCAGGGTGATAGGCCAACAGTTACAAGTAAAATAGGCTGGGTAAAATGGTGATTAAAATCGTGATTTAGCTAGGACAAAATGATGATAAATAGTGATTTAGCTGGATAAAATGGTGATCAGTGGTGATTTATCCAGGGCAAATAGGCAAATGGTGATAAATTGTGATTTAGCTAGGAACAATGGTGATATAATCAGTATACAATGGTGATATAGGGCAACATGTATGGGCTGGTGGTTTTGTAATTCAGGGTTTGTTTCATGCTGAAAGCTTTCATGGGTGGTGTTCAATTTAATATCGGGGGAAGTGATTAATACCAGATTGGAGGGTTTGAAGCCTTACGATCAACGACAAAAATGACAAGATGTTTTCTGTTTCTTTTTTACATGTTCAACCATAGAAATGGGATGATGCACAACGAAAGGCAAATTGATATGGGATTGGCTGGAGCGGCCAGTCAGTGTTTCACGCTTGTATTGATATGGATTTGATGATGCCTCATGACTCATGACAGATCTTTGCAATGATGATTGACATGTCAAATTTACACATACATGAAGTAAACGCATTGTTTAAACCTATCTTCAACCTACCTTCCACTTTTTGTGTCGAAACATGTCTAGGCCCGTATTGGTCTTAGGAATTTGCCCCCAATGCCAGGGGACCATTCCTGGCTGTTTTCCATTGGAAGCTTAGGAAATACTCCCTCCAATACCGTCTCCAAGCTGAGTTTAATATGTTTAATCCTCGTTTCTGGCCATGGAAATCTCACCAGATATTTTTGCCGACTTTGGGTCCGATCCCCATAGAATTTCGAGGTGGGATACATGGTCTTCATTGGAGACTTCGTCCCGGCGATTCTCGCGTTGCTTTTCCCCAGCCAAGAATGGGCCAAAATCAGCAACGGCCCCTTGGTGGATTTGAGGTAGCCGGGAACCAAAAAAAACAAGGTTGGATGATGTTTAAGATTTGTTCCATTGTTTATGATGTGGGTAAAACAATGCTATAAACCACCCATGACTGGGAATGGTAAACATACAACATACGGTGATTTGGGGGCTTAGCCACATTCTGGTAAAAATATGCAGCTGGTTTCTCAAGGATCCTTCAGTTCTGATGATGTTTGCAACAGTGACAGTGTACACAGAAAAGATCTAGTCAGATCCGTAGGGATTGGCCCAAAAAGTGGAGCTTCCAACCTTCCAACCCCCCAAGATCACACTTTAACTTTGGAGGTTGACATTGCTTCGGAATGATGCTTCGAATGTCTTAAATGGAATAATCCCAATAATTCGGAGATATGTCGGATATTTGGTCCAGCTACTTATTTGGAAACATAAAAGGGAATTGATCATCCCAATATTTTTTATACTGTAAGTGGTTTTTTCCAACATGATAACCAGTTATTTTCACAGATTAGTGAATTCTTACGACCTGACCGCCAATTTTGGGATGCTCCCGCCATGCGGACCTCGAGATTTACCTCAACTTTCTTTACCCATATGATCTGTCTATATTTATAGATCTATATTAATCTATACATTCATATATTTATCTATCTTAATATATATATATATACATACATACATACATAATATCCTCCATATTTATCGATATATTTACCCAACTATCGTCAATTGGCAATGTCCCACCTCAGCCATTTTTCGGCGCCATGAGGTTTTAGCCGAACCTGTTCCATCATTATCGCAGCAGTTGCTCGGAGGGTACCACGTTTCTGAGGGCTTTAAGTGGCTTTAAGCATAATATGAAATACCATCCTACAGACCCGGGTTCAGCATTGATTGTAGACTTGTTCATTTTCTGTTTTTTTCTTCGGTGACGAATACGATTGATTTTGTACATCTTAACCATATCACCCACGGTGCGTTGGCCCTGTTCTGCAGTGTTTTTGCATCAGAAACTCAAGGACAACTCTCGGTCCTCAGGTGATAAGATCACAGCCCCTGGTTGAATAGATCGGCCGCTGCGAGCCGGAGGTTGATTTTGGGGACGGCCCTGTCAGATGAGGTCTTGTTGGTGCCAATGATGCTTCCAAGCGATCTGTCGGGCGCTGAGGTTGCGCCCTCATCAAAAACCAAATCAGGCACTGGGTTATCCCAGTGCCTTTGATTATAACCTGCTATATAGGTCTTATTAATTCCTAGGTCCATTGCAACTAGCGTTTTTCGATCTTGGTCCATTTGATCTTCAAAATCACGTATGATTTTGCTGCAAACCCTTGGGCTTCAAAATCCGAATGCCATGTTCCTCGTATTAAGTAATGTTCCCTTGGGAACTGTGCAACGATCCTTCAAATCTCAGAAATGGTTGAGATGATACAAACATATATATATATATTTATATAATTATATCTATATATGACCAGGTACATGTAAAAAAAGGACAGTGTAAATATGATTCGAAATACATCATATGACCATGATAGACCATGATAGATGAGTAAAGTCCACTTTTTTGGGACTTGTGTTGGCCCTTGATATCGAACGTAGGCGTTCCCTTAGATTTCTCGAATATGTTTTCGGTGAAAATCTGAGGTCGAAACTGAAGTTCTTGCAGCCGGTGTCCATCATGGCATTAGTGTGCCCAGCGCCGAACATATGGAAAACCCACCATGAATCTAGTTTTCTGAACTAGAAACCATAGATGCCATAGATGTTTCGTATAATTGTGTTTGGTTGACTGCGGCGTATTGGAAAAGTGGGAGCTGGACAAGCTCTCAACGTGTTGAATAATTGTGATCTAACTGACTCTTATTGTCGTAAACTCGTGGTAGATGTCCCCCAGAAAACATACCAAAAGAGATGGGAGACAACTATGATTTCCTTAGACAATCCACTTAAATGAGCATGGAGCCACCATTTTCTGTGATGTTCCACCCGAAAAACAGGGAATGTTTGGGGAGTCTTGTACAAGCAGATAAGCAATCCAAAGAAATCTGGGCGTAAAAACGTTTGATTCTACGATTCTGATGGTTTCCGAGTCCCCAGTTTCCTCGGGTGATCTTCCATTGGGTGGTAGGTACATGTCCGTCGTGGTGGCCGTCGAGTGTCCCTACAGTTTCACTGACTCTTGGCATATCGCTGGGATCTGCAACCACCAGTGAGTTTTTCTGGGGGAAGTCGCCCAACAAAAATGTGTGTTTCCAATGGGAGGTACCCAAATATGGATGCTGGTTGGTGGTTTGGAACATGAATTTTATTTCTCCGGAATTTCATCATCCCAACGGACGAACTCACTCCATGATTTTTCGGATGGGTATAGGTCAACCACCAACCAGGATGGCTTGGGGAAAATCCATCCATGGATGGAATGGAACGGTGCCCCTATGACTTAGGAGACCTCCATATGGGGATGGGTCAAAACATGTCAGTACCCCTTCTGTTCACATCATAGCTGGTGCATATATGGATGTTGATCACCCTAAAAATAGTATTTATGGGTATTGATCCATGGCCTAATATAATATGAAAACAACATCTCCATACAATCGTTCGGGAAACCATGACTGTTTTCAATCATGGAAAAATTGGGGTAATATGTTCATGGGTATTGAGGAAACATGAGGAAACCCATTCCATTTTTGTCCATGAAAAAGTGATGGTTTTCGATTTTTTCCGTTTCAACTGATGCCTGATGACCAGCTGATGCATGTTCCCTGTGATGAAAGAAACAAGATGAAACAAGTAAGGGGTTTAGACATCCAATGAATACAGAAGCTACAGCATCGTCTTCCCACAAATAGAGTGAAACCCGGCAACAGATTTGTTTCACCTCTATTCTTATTTGGAGATGTTTGTCCGAATGGTATCCAGTGGTAGCAAAAACGGGTTTAAATAGGAAAATCCTCAGAAAATAGTACTGGAGAAAATAGATCATGCTTTTTCGCGCCCCTATTTTATTTTCATGATTTTCGATGTGGTTCGAACCACCTTTTGATTTCTTTTCTCTCGTCCCCTTAGGAACACCACAACCAGCATGGCTTTGGTGAAGTTCGGCTCTTTACATTCTCGTTGCATTTCTTTGAGGCGGGTAACCGTGAAGGAGCTAAAGCCGGGAATGGCTTTCTGATATGATCCAGTTAAAGATTAATGCGGTTAAAACAATAATAAACTATCCCCAAAATCACCATAAATGGGTGGTATAAACCATCAAATATGGAGTGGTTTATTATTGTTTTAACCACATTAGTATCGTTGCAGACCACTTGTTGTGATCCTTGACATATTCACATCTCATTTTTTGAATGCACCTGACACAAAGTTTGACCAGAAGATGAAGCGGCCAACATCTTTGGTGAGAAGAGCGAAGTGAGACATGTGTCATCATCTTTGGTGAGTATAGATATCTGAAAAATATAAGCGTTTGTCTCCAAATGGCATCCCCTTACATCCCCTTATATCCTTTTTATGATCTCCGATGGCTGTCAAATAATGGGAAGACAATGATAAACCATGGGATGGGGGCGATTGGGGTGTCCAATTCTTCCTTCAAAACCACCAGAGATGGGGGCTTGTGATGGGTATGTCACTGATAAATTTTAAATAGTGGTTTAAATGATGGTGGTTTAAATGATGGTTTCTTTATTCTCAGACTTTTTTGGCACACCAGTGCCTGAGCTTGAGTGACTTCGCTAGCATTCCTCTGCCCATCAATCATCAGCACTTCCTTAAACCCATATGTGCCATGGTCACCACATATCGGGATGGTCATCAATCCATTTTCATGGGGATTGCTATAGTCATTACAAGGATTCGTATTATGGGATGGATATGGATGGATGACCATACTCACGAAGAGGAGACTTATTGCTAATGTAGCGCACAGCCATGACATCCGACATCACTGCTGTGCAGGACGACAACTACTGTCCTGCTACCAAGTTCCTAAGTTGTTTGGCATGACATGTCAGGTAAATAAGTCGCTTTATTACTTTGACTTGCAGCTGGACACACTTTCGTCGCAAGGTAGTAACATGGCACATGTCCCAGGTGTAGGTGATCATTGCGCACCACGCACACAACGAAGAATTTATGTAGCAGCCAATCGCAAGAATGCATGCTCTGTGTCAGTGCATTTTGCCGACACAGATCAGGTACTTTTTTTCACCAGTGAACACACAACACACAATCCAATGACTGGACAACGAATTGGGGAAGCCACAAACCCAGGACCAGCAGAAGAAGAACAGCATGTCGTGACCATTGGACTTGTCAATCCGACTGCAATCCTGAACAAACATGCAGCATTCCAAGAGTTGGCATGTAGTATCTTTGCCTGCAGTGAGACGAGTGCAACAGCTACCACACAAAACATTATGAATTGCTACTTCCGAAATATGGGGTATAAACAAATATGGTGTCCACCTGTTCAGGCCCACCACTCGACACAAAGAGATGATGGAGCACGCCGCGGAATGGCTACAGGAGTATCCCTTCATGCAATATATCCAACTAGACCAAGTAGGATAGCCATAGACGACTCTCTTGACCATACGCGCATCCTTTCATCTATTGTTGAGATTGGCAATTGGAACCTGCACGTCATAGTCATTTACGGCTACCCTTCTTGTCTCCCTCAGGCAAGGGCAAAGACAGATGCGCTGATACGAGAAGCCGCCAGACTGGACAGTATCGTGCGATTGCCATCCATCATTTGTGGAGATTTCAATCATCGACCGCAACAGTTGCCTTCCGCTAGAATACTTATGAACCTTGGATATAAGTCCACTGACACCATATTTAATAACCTCTATGACCAGGCAATGCCGAATACCTGCCGAGGAACAACGTGTCATGATCAAATGATACTGCATCCGACCTTGATCCAGCATGTGCATTCCATACGAGTAGACCAGTCCAAAGTTTTCCATGACCATGACCCAGCAATCCTGAGCTTTCAATTTCCTATAGAGACGCCCACCTACAAAAAGTGGAAACTACCTGAACCTTTTTTTCCCTATGAGCCAGACCCAAAATACGTTGCACACCACTTTTCACAAATGATCAGCAACTCCTCACTATCTAATGCCAATCCCACTAGACTGCAGGAACTTACATTGTCTGATGCTCTGAAACTATGGGCTAAGACATGTGAGCAAGCAGTCAATAAGGCCTTGCAACAGCAAAACCGAGATAACCCAGAAAAATATCCTATGCCACACCTTCCGCGAAGATGCAAAGGACGCATGACTGAGCGTAAGTTGCAATCCTTTTCCCAAAAAAAGCCTATCCCCCAAGCGTGTGACGGGCAATATACACCTCCAATTGAAACAACTAACAAAAAAGTTTTTCAATTTACAAAACAACTTCGACGATTGCAATCCCTGAGACAAAGGGTATTCAAAATGACAGAACATTATCACATGGAGACCGTTCAGAATGAGCTCATGGCAGAATGGAAAGCTATTTGCAATGCCAAGCAGCCAACCAGCTTCCAACGCTGGTGCCTTGAACAACCAGAACTGGCTTGGTTCCCGGATTTTTTTCCCCCGCTTGATTTTTTGGATGTAGCCATACAGCTCATGCGCCATCACACTGACTCATTAGCAAATCAACAAACCCATGTGAGACAGAACACTTCCAAATTCAAACGATGGTATGACCAAAAACATGGACACCTCAAACACACCATGAAGAGACTCAAAGGAGATGTTCACCCGATGCTGTCACAGGTAGAACATGTCGTACGCAGTTCTGCGACATTGATCCTCCAGCAGGATGGCCTGGTGGAGCTGGAACTTGACGACCCTGCCTTATTTAATACCATAAGCACCGTGCAATTTCAACAACATAAAATTGAACCCCTCCACTTTGAAAATGCTGTCCTGACAGGAATGGTCCAAGAGGCTGATGTGTCGCTGCCCGCCCGAGCAGAGATCACACAGCAGCAACTGACACAGAGGCCGCAGGAGATAGCGCAAAAACTTCATGAGTATTGGAGCCTTTTTTGGAACAGAGATCCTGCTGACCAGATGGAACGACCAGAATATTGGCAAGAATTCCTTGACCTCATTCACCAACATGAGCCCCATAATCAAGTTCACATTGACGTCAGTAACGTTCATGCTTGGCGCACAGCACTCATGCAAACATCCTCCGGTAAAGCAAGGGGATATGATGGATGGCATGTTGAAGACTTGAAAGCTTTGCCGAATGAATGCTTGGCCACATTGGCATTTATTTTTCACCATAAACATGACCATGAAGCCTTTCCTGAATACCTGATGCAAAGTATCACGCTACCACTGGGGAAAAAACCTGATTCCAACACCCCACAAGCCACTAGACCCATCACACTATTACCCATCATTTACAGACTCCTTGCCAAAGTAGTATGCACCCAAATATTGCACACTTGGCGGGACACAATGCCACAACAAATCATTGGCTTTATCCCAGGACGCAGCCCACACAGTCACATGATTGCCTTACAATTTCAACTTGAGCAAAAACTTCTCAGAACCAGACACCATGGCCATCACTGGCAGGGTGTAACATTTCAACTTACTGCCACGTTGGCCATGCTATCGAGCACTTTGTCACAGCGGAGTACCGCATGCCTGGGCACACTTTTGGTATACTTCCCTCATGCATACCGTACGTTGGTGGCGGCTGAATGATGGAATCTTCCCAGGTGGCCGAGCCACCACGGGCACACCAGAGGGAGATGCTTGGAGCGTAGTTGCTTGTATAGCCATATCACGGTTTTGGTGTCAGTTGCTCAATAACCAGGACGCTTATCCAAGTGCCTATGCCGACAATTGGTCGTGGCGTGCCAGAAACTTTCATGTCAACAGACTTGCATTTCAACAAACAATAAGCTATACCAACTCGCTCAGGATACAGATTGATTGGGGAAAAACCTGGACCTGGTCAACAGATAGCCGCAACCGCCAAACATGGATGAACCAAATGCAGTCTATTTTCCCTGAAGGGACTGAGATGGTCACAGTACCAATGCACGTGAACTAGGCTTTACCCTTAACTACAATAAAACTTGCTCAAGAGCTACCCAGAGGCAACGACATGCTGAGGCCATAAAATTTATGAAGCAAGCAAGGCAAGAACACCTGACTCTTGCCACAAGAGCCAAACTTTGCAGCTTTGCACTCCACAAGGCCTTGTGGGGTACGGAAACCTATGTAGTACGTATGCCATGGTTGCGAGACCTTCGCGCCAACATTGCCAAGACACTGGTGCTGCACAAAGGCAATAGTAATCCCTATTTGTCATGCTGCATGCTGTCCAAGTTTGTAAACGACCCCGTAGTACACCTTCTGCAGATGTGCATCCGGAATCTTCGGGCATGGCTCCAGTTTGCCGAACAGGATACATTTCAGTCTTTTTTGAACATAGCCTGTCGGAGCTCCATCAGTCACTCACAAGTGTGGGGTCCTGCAGGAGCCTTTGCATACAATCTGGCACGTATAAACTGGCACATCACACGCGAGGGAGTTATCCACACAGATACCAATCTCCAATTTCACTTCTTGCGAGATAGCCAGATTGATATTTTCACGCAATTGGAACACTCATGGATGAAACACCTTACAGAGGTATGCTTGCAGCGCACAGACTGGAAACACCTTCCAATTCCGGATAGACAAGCCACTCTTCAACTCACCAAGGATGGGTCACCGGGAGAACAACGAGTGTGGGCAGAGCTGCTGACTGGTGCTTCTATGACCGTTGAACAGATGAAGCACTTTACGGACGAAACAACTTGCAGATTGTGCAACTGCCCAGATTCTGTTTACCATCGAGTTATGGAATGCGCTGCAACTGCACAGGTCAGAGAGGAATATGCATCACACATGACAGTGCTTTTTGAACATGCCCCATGCCATGTTCAGTTTCCAATGGTTTATCAGACTGAGATGCACGATTTTCAACACTGGTATTATCAACGTGTTAAACCTTCGGATCCAGATGCCCAGATTTTTTCGGAAGTGCAGACAGACATGTCAAACGGCCATACGCCCTCTTTTTACCTTGATGGTACGTGTGATCATCCTGATCTCCCTGAATACCGTAGAACAGCCTATGCAGTGATCTATCAGCGCCCAGTCAATGAG